ATGTCACCGCTCGAAAATAAAGAGTAAGGGAATGTCACCGCTCGAAAATAAAAAGTGAGGGGATGTCACCGTTCGAAAAAAAAAGTAGGGAATGTCATCGTTCGAAAAAAAAAGTGAGGGAATATCACCGCTCGAAAATAAAGAGTAAGGGAATGTCACCGCTCGAAAATAAAAAGTGAGGGAATGTCACCGCTCGAAAATAAAAGGTGAGGGGATGTCACCGTTCGAAAATAAAAAGTGAGGGAATGTCATCGTTCGAAAATAAAAAGTGAGGGGATGTCACCGTTCGAAAATGAAAAGTGAGGGGATGTCACCGTTCGAAAAAAAAAGTGAGGGGATGTCACCGCTCGAAAATGAAAAAGTGAGGGAATGCCACAAAAAAAAAAAGAAGCACAGAGAGGTGGGGACAGGTTCTACAGAACAGAAAAAAGGAATGCAGAGGGGTGGGGACAGGTTCTAGAGAAAAGAAAAAAAGGTCCGGACAGAAATGTCAAGTGTAGAAAATTTAGCGTAGACAGCATAGCAGGTGATTCCTCAAGGATTTGCCAGAAGCGAAATTCCTTTGACAACTACCACACTGGTATGGTTTCTGAATTTCAGACACGCCTTGATTAGAAGTATAAATTGAACAAAAGAAATGTCAATGACGATGGGTGTGAAGTAAAGAAAGAAAAAAAAAATGTAAAGAAAAGAAAAAAAAAACATATATAGTAATACACGGATGGAAAATCAAGGGAAGGATACTGTTACAGTAAAACGGGGCTGATCATTGTAAAAGGACATTGAATGAAATGATCCTCACCACTTATTCCAATTAAATTATTATAAAGACGTTGTGGTAAGAATCAAATGACTCAATCATTAGAGGTCTTTAAAAAGTGCAACATCGCAAAAATTAAAGTATATATAATATAATAGGATAAATAAAGAAGCTCATTTACCGTCGTTCCAGCCGAGGATGCAGGTAAGGATTGGAAGCCACTAGGAAGGAGGGATGAGGAATAAATGACGCCAAAATGAGGTTCAACACAATATGGACAAGCGGGTGATTCAGTCGGTGCGCTCTCCAGGCGCTTGAGTTGTACAAAACATTCAGTGCACATTGGTTTGTCGCAACATCGCGTGCGGTTGATATTTCGAGGATAATACTATTATATTTAAGAAAAGGAGAAGCAATTAATATCATAAGAAAAAAAAAAAAAAAAAGAAAAAAAAAGCAAAAGGAGGTCAGTCGTGGATAGTCAGCGGTCAAGTTTGGGGCTCTATAGTCTGTGGTCAATAGTCAAAGACTCACGGTCCGTGGATTGTGGCAGACTGTGAGTGTGTGGTCAGTTGTGTGAACACACCACGACCATGGGCTTCCTGCCTGACTAACTTTTTTTTTCTATATTTGATCAAGGATTTCAACTCACAAGAGCAAACAAGCTCAGCACGCCCGGAGGAGAGTGAGAAAATGGCTGACAGGACAAGGACAATGCTTCTGCGTCTTTGCGTCTATTGTGTCATTGCTCTCTTTTTGTATGTGTATGCTGAGGTCACTGTGCTCTCAATCTCAATGCGCGATCTCTCCAGAAAGAAGGAAGAACAAGGATGCACAATGCACTAAGTTCAGAAACAACAAATGCAATGACCAATGGGTCAATGTATTCTTACCAAGAAACAGATGGGACATTCGATTGCACCCTGGTATAGTCGTCTCATGTCCCTTTTCAGATTCTGTCATGTAACCATGAGAACCTCGTGTTGCAAAGCTGTTATGATTGCTGTTTTGTATTGTTATGGGTGTTGGTGTTGTGGTTGTTTTCTGAGAGGGTTGTCCCCATTGTGGCCTTTTTCACCTTTTTCCTCTTGGGCATCCTCACTATCATCCCAGTCCTCTAAGCCTTTATAAAAAGGTGCGAGTTTGCGTTGTTGTATGAAGCCGTTGTACAATCCGGAAGTCATAATCCTGAGGACC